TCTCTCTCTCTCTCTCTCTCTCTCTCTCTCTCTCTCTCTCTCTCCAGAGACAAAGCACACCTTGGCGCTGCCGGCGGGCCGTTTGGATGCAGTCCTATATAAGCAGCGCGCGCCCTTACACGCCCAAATGGAATGAACAACATTTACTACACTGACAGAAAAAAAATGAAAAAACCACAGAAGATCTCAGGGGGTCGTTCAACGGCACTCTGACGACTAGGAGAAAAAAACTCAGCCGTCGGTCGGACCGACGACGACGTTGACTTTTCTTCCAGTCAGTCGTCGCAGTAAAAGTGACGAAAGCAAATACAGTAAAATGGCACCCAGCAATTTGCTGCTTCGCACAACGCGAGAGTCAATAGATGTAAAGAGTCGTGCTTTGGAGCGTCGCAAGAGACCGCCGCCTCCCCCAACGACCCCCACCCCACCCCCCAACGCGCGCCACGCCACCGCCGCGTCACGCTGCAACTACAGTAACGCTCCACTGCTCCTCCCTGCACTTGGGCGCGTGGCGTGGCGTAGCGCGGCGAGCTCATTGCAAGCACCGCAGCAACATAGCATGCTGTGCGCAAGGTGCCCCGCCGGACTGGCCGGGCCGGCCGGGCGCGATGTGACGCTGTTGGTGACACTCGACGGCACAGACCGCACCACACCTCGGACCCAGTTCCACTGCTTACGGCACAAGCAACAACTATGTAAGCGGGGCAACATGTGAGAAAGCAGGAAAATTATGGTGACTATGATGAGAGGGGTTGCGATAAATTTGGGAAGAGCGAAGAGTGTCTACTTTGAGGTAACAAAAAATGTCACACGTTTTAGTCGCGGCAGACTTACATGAATGAAGTCCAGTGCAAATGCACTGGGAAAAAAATCAGAAAAAATGTAGGTCGCTACTTGATTTATTTTACATGCCTATATGACTTTCCTCGTGAGAAAATAAAACTCCCTGATGTCGTTTCAGTCATCATGAAATAGCTGGATCGAGAACGGATATACAACTTTTTAGTTTTCGTCGTGGGCCAAGGCTAGAGATAAAGGTCACGAGGGATTCCCTATATTTTCCCCCTTTGCTGAATGAATGAAATGAATGGAGTGCGTTTCGAGAGGCCCCGTCCGTCCTCTTCTGCGAGCGGCGCCGCCGCGGCAGAGCGTGCGGGTCACGCCCACCTTCAGGTGGAATCCTGCCAGTCAGAGAATCCTCTCTGCGGCGGTCAAAACGGTCCTGGGAAGGAAAGGGGAAGGCCTGGGCGCCGCGCGGGCCGCGAGCAGGAGGAGCCTTCCATGAGCGCCTCCTTCATGACCCTCCATCATCACCACGCTGACTTTCCCCGCCGCCCGCACTGCCAGACACCACTTGAGACTACAATATACAAAAAAAACGAAAGGGGAAAAAAATAACATTCGCATAGCACAAAGCTCATCCGCGACTGGTTAGAAAAAGCTTATGCGCTCAGCAGGTCTGGCTGCAGAAGTGCGACGCACGGCAAACAGCTCATGACAGCTCATGCACCTCCCCCACCGGAGGTAGGTGGCGGTAGTGAAAAACCACGCCGCAAGCAGGTGACGCATGTGCGACGCGCACCCCCGCGGCGGGCGATCGATACGAGCCGCCGAGTGGTCGCGGTCCGTCGCGTCGGCAGTTTAAATTTTAATCATCAGCGACGACCACGACGCACCGCGCTGCCGCCGCGGTGACTTGAACGCCAGAGCGGGGCCGCGAAGCAACGGCTTTGGCGTTTAAAAACCGAAGTGGCGCGGTTGTCGTCGGGGCGAGCTAGACCGTACCGCGGCGCAGGGCTGCCGGATGGGCTTGCCTACCCTGCACGGGGCCCACAGGCTGCAGAGCTAGCGCTGGCCCCGCGAGGGCGGCAAACTCGCGCACGAAACTGTGTCACTTCAAATTCAAAACGGCGCACGGACAAGCGTGGCTCGTGTGGCAAAAGCACCCCACGAAAACAATATTCCTTTATTCTGAGCGCCTTAACACAATCTGCCGGCCGACTTCCTCCAGGGGTCCGCTCCGGTCAGGCTTCGCCTCCATCGGCGGCGTTCCTTTTTTTTTCGTTTGCCTCTTTCCTTCAGCGGAAGCCGCATACGCACCCAAGTTATGGGCGGAGCAGCAGCGACCGACCGGAGAGTCCGACCCGACCGGACCCAGCGACCGTGGACCGTGCAGCTCGCCCTCCAGGGAGACCCGCAGACCCGTCCGGCAGGCTCGGCCTGCGAGGCGCAGCAGCTCGGCCGCCAGCCGCCAGCGCATGAGAAATCTAGTCCGCTGCAGCAGAAACTCACCTTGACAAAGAGGGGTCCTTTATCCATTCAGCGAGCGATGACGGTGAAAAAAATCCAAAGCACCGGGGGGGATGTTCAATCGGCGAGGGGGGAGCTCAGCACTTGCACTTCGAGATGGATAATCCCAACACGACACACTCACACACACCAACTCAAATGTAGCACAGGACTCGCCAGCACTGGCGGGGCGTCACTCACACACTTGCAATACTTGCAGATACACACAAACACACACGCGCGCGCACGGGGCCGCAAATTTTTCAGTTCACACGGTTTGGCCAGAGTGTTTGATTTGCCTCGGCACTGTCACGCGGAGCCGTTTTCTCTCCGCCGACACCTGCCCCGGGTGGGGCTGGCTGGGCTGGGCGCTGCTGCTGCTGCTGCTGCCGCCGCCCCTCCACTTCGCGGTGCTTCGCGGCGCTCCGAGCACACCGGGGCCGCACAGCCAGCCGCGCGCTCACACACCGGCCGGGTTAGGTCCACTCGCTGGGCGTTAACGGTGCGTACTAACGGGACCGCGGCGGGCAGCGCCGAGTCGCGACCGCCAGCGCCGCGGCCGCGAGGCGGCGGGGAGGCGAACTACAGCCGCTCGGCCCCTCCGCGACGGCCCCCCTCCAACAACCCTTTGGGCCGCCGCCGCCGCGCCGCCCGCGCGCTGCAGGCCGGGCTGCGTCCGCGACGACGAGCTGCTCCGGCCCGCTCGCTCTCTCCGCGCCGCCGTTCGGGCACCGTTCGGGACGGCCGGCGTACTTCGGACGCCCCCAGGGAGAGAGCGGAGTACGTACACCTGCCCCGGGACCGCGCTGGCTGCACCGACTGCAAGTCGCTCGCGGCCGCGGCGGCGGCGGGGCGCGAAGCACCGTGGCGCGATCTGACGGGGCGATGTGCGCTGTGGCGAGGAGTAGCGCCGCCGGTACCCCAACCCCACGGCAGTCATACTCATGGGTACTTCTGGTCATTCCCTTCCCAAAGGACGGAAGCGCGGTGCCCCAACCAACCCCACGGCAGTCATTCCCTCAGGTATTCATGGTCATTCCCTTAGATAGTTCGGGTCATTCCCTTAGAGAGTTATGGTCATTCCCTTGGCAAAGAACGGAAACGCTCTGGACGATATTACTTACGCCCTCTGCCTCATGCGCAAGGCTTTCCAGGAGCTACTCCCAGCCACTCACTCTTGAAAAAGAAAAACTGTGCACTCACCTCAGCAATTTCAACGCCTTTGAAGTCATGGACACAGCGTAACACGTAACTGTTGGAAATTAGAGAATGTTTATTATTTCTACAGCTGGAATTTAAAACAATAAAGAGTCATTGTCGTTTACAGAGTTAGTTAATTGTCATAGTTGTTAAACTAGTCTCAGGTTTTCAGTCAGAGGACATGTAACTAATCTTTAGCGGATCCCTCTGAATGGTATGTGAGGGCACGCACACATTCCTTCCAATTTTTGCTCACAAATCAGTCAACACTTGTCTTTGAAGTAAAAAGAAACTGATGAGGAAAATCAATACACCATAAATTGTGGCGCAACATACAGTTAGATGTACTATTGAAATGCTGTAAGCATTGTCGGGACACAAGCACCTTGGATGCAAGAGTTGACAAAACGCTGGAGATGTGGTCAAAACATGATGAGGTGAGGTGGGATAGCATATGGTTCTGTGACAAAAGAAGCGCAAGATAGATTCCTTGCCACTGTACCTCCTCGGACCAGCTCTCCAGCGATTTTTCAACGCTAGCACATCTCAACGCGTCCAGCGCTTAAACCGTAATTATAACTTTGAATTTAATTCAAGATTAAAATGATTTCAATCACCAGGACTGTAAATCAGTTAACTTAAAGTTAAGTTAGGCGACATACCTGTTCGGATGGAATAGATGAGGCATGGTATGGCTGCTTGTCTTTTGCTTTTTTAAAAAAAACACACAACTTTTAATAAAACTGTAAACTGAAGAACGAAAAGTACCGAAAACGACGGAAAACAACTAGAAAATACATGATTACCGACAATCGTTTACTTAAATAAATGTCCAATCTATGACGGGCCAGTTACCGAATCAAAACAAACACTGTACTGATACACTGTTACCACCTTTCAACTGTTTCACTGCGAATAGCGTTTCCTGCGAATAGTTGGTCACTTCTCGGGAGAAAACAATTGAGTGGTGGCGACAAGAAAGCTTCACGAGCAACATCAACAAATCTTCAAAACAACTAAAAAGATGAATTAGATTCATCACACATTGAGTTTTGAACCTATCTAAGTTAATTTTCTCTAAGAAAGTTTTGTTAGTAAAATTTGAACTGAGGTATTTCGGTTTAATTCTGTAGCATTGAGTGAAAGGTATTTTAGCCTGTCTGTCCCACCTCTCGACCTAAACATTGCGGCAAACCGGTATAAGTTGTGTACAACCTCTTATTCTTCCTTTACTCTTGGATACGTATTAGATATCTTCCTTTGCTTCCATATTAGTCGTTTCAGACATTATTTCAACACACTTTGGACACAATATGAAGTAAGTAGGTCTACCATCAGCGAACTCTAACCTCTTTTCACTTCAACTTTATTTTCTCATTGTCAACCTTCATTATACAATGTTCTAATTAATTCAATCAAAATTACAGGTTTAAATGACAATTATTTTTTTCCATCGGAAGTATGAGGAACTTGTTAGGCACAACTACAGTTAGTTGCAAAATGACAAGTAAAACCAGCAGTCTTAAAGCCCTGCTTTTACGTGCCTGGCGAGAACGCTGGTCAGATTTGCAATGGGGTATACACATCAAAATGGTAAAAACTTAAAACAGATTGATTATTTTGATTAATGGATTTTATTGATTCTTATTGCAATTTTGTTGTTTACTTTGATAGATTCTACCGCGAGGTGTTAGTGGTGATGTTCATAATCTAGCAGATTGCATCCTTCAACAAGCCCTTGTTGGGCCTGGCCCTAATCAACTTGTACTCTCATATTTGAAGCACACACTAAGCTCTCAGGTAACAATACTGTTGATCACACTTGATTGCCCCTTCAAGAACATTCTAAATTTATTTTATTATCTTTTCCGTAGCTTGTTTCTTATGCTGCAGTTCTCCA